CAACCTATAAGTTGTCTAATAAAATTTATTTTTTTCGTTTTGCGTATAAGCTGTCGTACAACGAGATTGGAGGCACGGTGGAGTAATGGATAACAGCTCGGGGTGAGGAATCGGAGAGCCGAGTTCGAATTGCAGTCGACTCCGTTATATTCACTTGCGCGCTAATAGCATGGAAAAGTTTAAATCGTTTTTCTCCCCCCACAGCTATGGGTAAATACATGGACAGACTGGATTCTGTAGCCTTGGAGGGCAACTGGTCTACCTCAGAAAGAAATGACAACCTACTGCGGGAAAAAAAAATCTGCCTCGTCAGTCATGTATCGAAAGATACATGATCGCCTACGCATGGTACATAACTGACAGACTGATATCGAAATTAAATTTTACATTATTCTTTAATCATTAAAAAATAGTGAGGAGAACGGACAATAAACAACCTGAAATTAAGGTTGTACTGTCACTTTGGCTGGTTGCAGGGGAGCAATGATCCGGATGAGAGATCCACATGTGAAAAGTGCGAGGAAAGAAACTTACGGTTACAGTAAAACGATAAAAAAAAACTCTTCAAGTTCATACACCCCGCTCACACACACACACACACACACACACACACACATATATATATATTAGGAAACTGGATTAAATCTGACATGTATTTAACTTATTTGTTTAAACGCTACTTTTGAAATGGATACTCATATTTGAGTAGAAGTTTTCTTATTTATTTATTTATTTATTTATTTATTTATTAAACAGTGTATTTATTTAGTTAGTTACATCTACCGGACTGAATATTCGGAGGGTGCATATTTTCTAACAAAATTTCTCAAATATTCAGCTGTATTTAAATTTCTGAAGATCAAAATTGACTATATAGCAAGAAAACGGAACAGAGTTCTGCCAGCGAGAAGTGCAACAAAAGAAGCTGTTAACATAGAACTTACGTTTACACCTTGTAATTTCAACTGTAAATGAATGAGACTATGTCTCCAAACTAGTCCTGCGTTTCAATACATAAAGCTTAGGAACCATAGAGGAAAGTTAATGAGTACAGATAGAGAAAAGCTACGTTAAGGCGAAAAGAAAGGGACTGAAACTGAATTGGCAGATCACGAAGAATGACACGATTGTTTCTTTATTGGATAGAATCAAGGATTTCTAAATATATAACAGGAATACCAGACGATATGTAACATCAATATTCTAATCATAGATGAGTAGTAGACTTATAAATATGTAAGATAAATTCTGGCAAGCAAAGTTGTGTCTAAAACAACACAGTGAACCAACTTTCCTAGCAGGAAACCCAGCAATTGATTCAGTATAATCTTTCCAATTAAGAAAACGTTCGCCTGAGAAGGCGTGACGAGTTACTCTCCTGGAGGTAAGCATCAACCATACCGATGGAAAGCAGGAAATGTTCTATTAGAAAATTTAATCGAGAGCAGTTTCATTTTTGTCATGGCTCCTAACCTATAGCTACAGAATGAACTCTTCCTAACACTATGTATACTACGCCTCTCAAGAGAGAGGGACGAATCGAGTCGAGTCGATAGTAGTTCACTCCAAACAAAACTGACAGTCATACTAACGCCTTCCACATCTTGTATTATTATATCGTATAATATACCTTCGTTATTTCTACTTTTGTGTTTGTGTTGTTCTTCCTTGGTCCTAACCTTGACCACAACAATTTTGAAGGCGATAAAACTAACAAGCTATTCCTTGTCCCTGGTAACAACAGAGTGGAAGTCATTTTTGAGATAAACTGATATTCTGACGACCGCCTTTAAACAAGAATTCGTGAAGAAAGAAAACCTATTCTTGGACATGAATTTAAAAAGATAAATAATATCAAACATATTGTAATACAAGCATCAAACTTTGAGGAATATGCTGCATGTTGTAGTATTTGTAAAAAGAAATGTCAAAGAGGCATTCGAAGATACATCCATACAAAGATTGGGCACATAAGTAATGTTAGGAACATTCCAAAGAATACTGTCTCTGCTGAATATTTTATGTGCTGACGTTGCTTTGTGGTTTGTAAAAGCAAGGCGGGTATAAACTGTCTTGGAGTAAGCAAAACATTAAAATGTCGAGTAAAGCAAAAAATACCTTTTTGGTTCTAATGGGTCAGAAACGATAGGAGAATCCATTATATATATATATATATATATATATATATATATATATATATATATATATATATTTAAAAATGTGAAAAAGTGCTGGCCAGAACACTACCGCGGTTTTGACCACTACAGTGTCCTCAGGTTGTTGGTTCAGCAAATCAACGACATGGAGCTCAACAACTTAAGCAATTCCGTTCGAAACCCGAAGTTGCTGGGGCTACATGCACAAAAATAATTCCAACTTTATCCGGATTCAAATAACCCCAAGCTGAACTTCTTAAAGTGTCTACACTTGCTCATGATTTGTGACCTCCCGTTATTTGCTGAACAAATATCTGAGGAGGCGTTAGTAGTCGAAACCGCAGTAATATTCTGGTTAGCATTCATTTCCATAAACATTAAACTGCTTTTCAAGTCTGGTCTTCCAAATTGATATTGAGAACTTATAATGCGTACGATCTTAACAAATATTTTACTGTTTGTTTACTCTGGTTTATATATGTATGTATATTTATATCGATCTGACGTGTACAGATTGTGGTAGAGTGTCTTTGTCGATGGCAGGTCTAAGGAGTCACTTGAAAGCGCAGCGACGGAGGGTAGCAATTGAAAAGTGTGTGTGTGATTGTTGATTCTAGATCATCAGTGTTACTCTGACTTCGACTGATCGACCGGGAGGACTGATCCCAACGAAAATCAATATCACCTTGTAAAAATTGTGTGGGTAGATTTTAATGTGCTACTTCTTAGACGTACAATCTTATGGTTCAAAGGTTGAATTATCACAAAAAAAAAAACAGTCAACCGACATATTCCGGATTATGACATCTATTATCAAATATGTGTGGAAATTGGGTTCTAAGGAGTATTTTAGTATCTTAATAAAATTTATTCTAGATCTAAGTTTCTTCAATTTTCATAGTGTAAATTTGATACTTGAGTAAAAAAAAATCTATGATTCATTTTAAAAACTATGATGAACAATTTTTTCTGTTCCTTGACAAATTAGTTCTTTCAGATAATTTTCTTCAAACTTAAGCTAAATTAGACACAATTAATAATTGCGGAATCTCTAGTTATGATTTTTCTCTTTGTGTATGTATGTGTGTTACTGAGTGATTGTGTATGCCTGTGTGTTACTGTGTGTTTATGCATGTCTTTGTATTACTGTGTGTTTGTGTATGCCTGTGTGTTACTGTGTGTTTTTTATGTCTGTGTGTTAGCGCCTGTCGTTTTGTACAAGAGGCGCCGAGCGATGTCTTCCAACATTTTATTGCTGTTATTCCATCCATATTTCTTTCTATCGGAATCGCGAGTAATCAATCACATGGAACTTGGCGACACACACACACACACACACACACACACACATTAAAACGTTTTTTTTCATTTGAGCAGGTCAATTGAGTCCAAATTTATATCTGTGTTTTTCTTTTTTTTAATATATCATTTAACATTATAAACAACGGAAATATAAAATCAAATTCAGGGTTTAAATTTATGAAGTCAGAACGCAGAAATATTCTTAGAATTACTGATGTAAATTCCCCTTTTCTTTCTCTGATTGAATCACGACAAACCAAACACACGTCTACGCACACACAAACATACACAAACATACACAAACATACACAAACTTACACACCTCAATGCTCCAACCCCCACACGCACCATGAGAAGTTTTTTCAGCACGACTTTGTCGGTGTATTTTTTTGCGGTGGGGAGGGTCTACCTCATTTAATATTGTAATGAGCAGAAAAAGGAACTAAAATCAAAATTTGAATCCATCAAGTTGAAACAAAAACGTATTTTAATTACTTCCCGTTAGTCTTATATGGCCTTTTATTTCCCGTTGACCTTATCCGGCTTGAATTTATCTGTTTTCGAATCATTTTTCTCAAATCGTGGCCACATTATTTTTTCATCATGTAACATTGTCATGAAGTTTAAGCCAAATTCATTATATGTCAAATTTCAGAGAATGAAGTTAATACAAACTAGAAACATAGTAAATTAGGACAAATCCAAGATATACACATGTATTATTCTGTAATTTTGAATCTATTTCTATGTCCTGATTCGTTCTCTCCGTTGATTTAATAGTTTGCATTGATCTTTATATTTTATTATCTTAATTAAACATAGCTTGCGCCTATACCTAAAACTATTGGGGGTGTTCGCGAAACATAAAATTTTGCAATTTATTTGAGGAATCAGACCCTTTTCCTTCAATTCATATATTTTTTCGAAAGGGCTGTTTGGTGTTTTAATTTTGGATTGGTGAAAAAATTTGAAGGAATTGAAGGAAAAGAGTCTGAATCCTCAAATATATATATATATATATATATATATATGTGTGTGTGTGTGTGTGTGTGTGTGTGTGTGTGTGTGTGTTTCATCTGTGCATGGTATATGTAGAACAATAGAAAAATACATAACGATATGTTTCTACATTCTTTATTGTAGAAAATACCTCACATTTATCGCAGATATGCATAGTCAAAATATTCCTTTTAATGTGCTATATATATATATATATATATATATATATATATATATATATATATATATATGCCTAAAGAGCCAGAATCTCTCTCCCTAGGTTTTAACTATCGGATCATCATATGTTTGTATTATATGTGTGTATGTTAGAGTTTTTCAAGTGAATATATGCCTAGAATATAGTGAGAAATACGAAAGATACATGTGCGGCCATTTATACAAACTTCTTGATGTCTAAAGCAGCTGATGCGTTTGAGGGTCATCGGAAATTCTCTGAGGATTTAGCGTTTTTCAGCTGGAAATGTGCCTGAGATGTTTAAATAATTCTCCAGCCATTTTCCAGATATATCTTAAAGGAGTATCTTATACATTGGCGCACGGTGGGCAAGAAGAAGTAGGAAGGGAAATGGGAAAGAGAAGAAAAGAAAAACAAGAGAACGGACAGATGAGAAATATGGAAGAACACATATTTACCAGTTGAAAATTAGTAAAGAAGAAATGAAGTATAAAATAAATAAGAGGGGAAAGAAATGCAAAGATGTAGAAGAAAAGTAGAAAGGAAAACAGAAAAGTAGAAAGGAAAACAGAAAAGTAGAAAGACTAGTAAGAGGGGAAAGAAAAGTATCTGGCCATAACAAGAAAGCTAAATTAATTATTTACTATAAAATATTTAAAAAGTTATCGTCAAAATCAACCCACCTGCAAGGTCCAAAATTACAGAGAACCAATATTACGAATTCAAATATTCCTAAGGTAAAAAAAATTCATAATTAAATTGGGCATACCACTACATCCCTATCAAGAAGACTAACGTTACATCTCTCTGACCATAGGTCATTAGGAATCATCTAAATACATATGGAAACCTACGAAACTCCATTCGCAACTTACTCTGCAAAAAATACAACTCTAATCGCCTCATCCACAGGTAAAAAAGGCAAAAATTCATGGAAGTATTAACAATAAAATTTCTGAAATAATATTGTATAACAACAACTATGAACACGGCCACAATGCGCTGGCCGTGTTTGTAAAAAACATTTCTATGATGCCAGGTGTATACCGAAAAAGAATCCATACATTTAGTTAAAAGTGTTGCGTGCGTATAGTGTTCGTGATTTAGGTAGGAAACACATGTCTCCTGGTATATTTATGCCACAACAAAATGACGGACTCAGTATATAAGTCCGAGTAATAGATGAAAAAAAACAAATATATATATATATATATATATATATATATATATATATATATATATATATATATATATAACAAATATGTATTAACAAAACAAGATTATACATAGACAAGAGAATATTGTTGCGTGTTACAACAAATAAACATTTAAATACTACAGAATTTGTCTGTGTGTAGCTTGATGTAACATAAAGTCCTAGAGAAAATGAAGTGAAAGTTGCGTACGTGCGTGAGGGAAACGTTTTCATTGTTCGACCAACATCTTCACAGTTCTTGAGGGAAATAAGGAAACGAGTGTGACAGCAGTGATTCTGACATGTTTTCGCTGTAATATCCTGAATATCTATTTCTTTAATAATATTTCTCAAATATTCAAGCTGACTGACGGAAATAAATAAATAATCTGTTTCAAAAATGAACGGAGCGTCTTTTCAAACATGGGTAGCCATTAAAAGTAATGCTTTAAATTTTAAATGTATGTATTGAAGTAGTCGTCACCGGCTTGCATCCAACAGTCACAGAGAAGTGTGTGTGTGTGGTGGACGCAATTGGGTGAATCGAGCCCTCCTGTCAGCACGTCGCAGATCCTCTCCATGTTAACGGTTGGACTCAAAACACTCGGCCCATCACCAGCTCACTGCCCGGCATTGGATGTCACTCAACTTCAAACTTCCGGGAAGCACTCCTTCATGAAATCCGGAATAGCAATCGACGACGCGCCCCTGGAATTTTTCTCCCATGGTGACCTCGAACTGCAAACCGGGTAAACCGCCCTTGATACAGAAAACCGTTAAGATGAAAAAGTCTCTGCGAACTTTAAAAATGCCAACATTTTGATGATCTTCAAAAAATGATACACCAAGCTCTTCAAAAAAAAAAAAAAATGTGGCATCTTCCACCTTAGCATCACTGGAGGGATCTTTTTGCGAATAATTATAGATGAACTCCTCCCCGTGGGAGAAGAGATCCTTCCTGAATCACAATGTTGTTTCCGGCCTTTGAAAGGCATTGTTGACCAGCACTTCTCCGTGTGATATCTCCAAGAGAAGAGTCGTGATCAACAAACATTACTGATATTCATCTTCTGAGATATCCAGAAGGTATTCAACAAAGTTCAAAGATTAGCAATATGCGTTGGATGCCCGGATCGCTTCATGGCTCAGCTCGGTATGATCCACGGCGCAATGGAGGGTCTGGTGAAACAATGGACTAAACTTTCGGACCCATCTTCAATCACCGGTGGCCTTAAACAGCTCCGACACACTTGTCCCTGTACCTCTCCCCTATGATCAACGAGATCCCCCACAGGCTACATTGGCATTGACATCTGAGAAGGACTCGACGGCGGACTCATCAATCTCACCCCACCCGACGAGGAACCAAACTGCCATTACCCTCCAAAGCCGGTAGAAGTCGTCGCTGAATTTCCTTACCTTACTAGCATCATCTGCAATAATGGCACCTACGAAAAGATCTTGACCACGATATATATATATATATATATATATATATATATATATATATATATATATATATATGCATGTATGTATAAGTACAATGAGAATGAATAGAGTACAGTTCCAATGTTCGTAGCATTTAATTTAAAAGAGAGCTCAATACAAAGTAGAGCAATACTGTGCGGCAATTGACTGTTAATCTACGAGTCAGGGCCCATTTTTGGAAAACAATTTCTTAATTTTTGCTTCTTCGCTTAGTTGAAATTCAACGTAGGTCATATTCGATTGGTTAATCTGACTAAAACCCACAGACCTTATAAGCCCACTTCTTTTAGCTCTCTCTCACTCTCTCTCTCGCTCTCTCTCTCTCTCTCTATATATATATATATATATTTAAATATATATATATATATATTACGATATGGACTACGTCCTACAATTAATTTGATATATTTTCTGTTTATACCTATAGATAGAAATATTTAAGTAAATGATCTACTAATAATAAACAGTATTAACAACAATTACCGGCCTGAAAGTACGAGAAAACTGAAAGAAACTCTGTGTCCCTCCACAGGAATTGAACTTGTATCCTACACGAAACCGTCATATAGTCTGACGTGCCATACCATTTAGATACAGAGGAAGTGTCTGGCTAGAAAGTAATTCGACCTTTCATATATATATATATATATATATATATATATATATATATATATATATATATATATATATATATATATATATATATATATATATATATATATATATATTGAAAAAAATATTTCATTAACAGGAATATATCTTATATTCTTTTCAACAATAATTTCTAAGCCTTTTATTGCATATATCTCTCCAATTAGTTGCCCGACATGAAATAATTATTTTACCATTTTATAGTCATTGCTGTGTAGTATATCTCGTCTTAGAAGATTCTTTCTACTAATACCTTAGCTTTTGAAAGGATTTACACAAACGGGGGCCACTCTGCACAATATTGTAATTTTTATATATATCTAGATATTGATTAAATTTTATGCTGTCAATTTATATTTCATTATCAAAGAATTCAGTAAAATCTTCCATGCCTAAGCGCATGGGATTTCATTTCAGGCAAATACCCTAAATAGCTTGCCTTGTGCCACATTCGGCATCCAGAAGTTTTATGTAGAATCATATATTACACTTCTGTTGACAAAACTATACGATCTATGCAAGAAATTGCTTGAAACATATTAAGCTAGAAAGATACATTTACAATGTCTTATATATTTATTTTCCGCCATTTTATTTTTAATTTAATCTTCTAGACATGATGTATATATTTATTCATTTGTTTATCATTTTTGCGCGCCCAGAAGACACAATTTATGATCAACTAAAATATTCATTAATTTGCGTGAGAATTTGGTTTTGTAAAGTATCCGATGGAAATCATAAATAATTGATGAGGTGCAATTGCCAAATAAATTTCTCAGTGCTTTAGAGTTTAGATTAAAAAATAACATAAAATTTAAGCGTTTAATCTCGCTTATTTTTGGCCTTAGGTCTCTTTGCATTCATTAAAAATTTTGCTGGTCATTTGAGTCGATTAACTTTCATTCAATATGCAGCCATCGTTTCTGAACATGCAAAATGGAAATCTAAAGTGAGAAATTGAATTGCATTCAAAGAGAATAAACAAATCATAGAAGAATTCCATCAGAGAAGGACAGCAAATGAAGGCCGAGATGAAGTTCATAATGTGAAAGTGTATCGAATTCGTTTAGAAAAAATATAACAGAATCGACTTAATAGTAAAAAGTGTTCCTCTAGCAAAATCACTGTTATTGCACATTTCAATCCAGTGGTATATATCGAATAGTATTAAGATCCTAGGGAAGCATATGAACTACAAATTTAGGAGCAGTAATGTCTTGGACAATATAGCTTGACCTAGCCTGTTTCTCTTCGTGCTGTTTTTTTTTTTATTTAGAATATTTCCTTCGCCTTGATTGGTGGCCACATGGAAAGAGAGAACCAATCAGATGTGCTTATTTAACCTATAGATGGGTTGTAAGAAGAAATGGATTCATCCGTGAATGCTAAGGTCAAAAACTGGTCCGTAATTCGAACGCAGCTTGGAGATTGTTCTTTCCGATTCGCTAACCCTTAAGAAACTTTAAAAGAGGAAAGCAAGTTTTTGTTAAGAGCGGCTAAAATATATTATGGCCACCATAATAGAACAACGCAGATACGGCGCAGTAAAAGTTTGTCTGGGAAAAATTAAAAAAAAACAAACAAACAGTGAATTACATAATCAGCCAATACAGTATAACAAAAGTGAAAATAGGCATAGATGCGTAGAGAAAGGGGTTCAGTAATATATCTATATATATATATATATGTGTGTGTGTGAGTGTGCGCGTGTGTTTATGCTGATAGATTGATAGATATAACTATAGAGAATCTATGTCAGACTTTATCATGCAGATTATTTTTTTCATATAAAATTAGTACTAACAAATTAAAGATAATAAAAGTTTCCAGATATATTTATATATAGTAGTGGATCACAGCCATATGAAAAAAAAATCACCCAAATCCAAAAAAATATAAAACAAATAATTTGATTATCATTTCTGTCTGAATAAATTATCATATTAATTTACATATTACTTTTGAATCCTTGACATTCTATAACATTCCTTAGTCATTCATTCATTGATTATTTTTTATATTTTCTTTCTTTAGACTCTACTATTTACTCGCAGCATTTTTGATAACTTTCCTTTAGACTCAATATTTGCTGAGTAATTTCTCTATTGTCATTGAAATCTTTTTGGTACGGTGGACAACAGCTACATTTTAGAATGCAGTGAAAAACTGTCGTAAATGAAATATTAAAATCCTTAATTTAAATGTACTTATGTATAACTCGTGATATTCAGAAAGCATGAACTTAATTCTCGGCATTTATTTTGATACAACAATAAATCTTGAACGGACCTCTAACTTTACAAATAACAAAACTATCCCAGAATTCCTGCTATTAATATTTCTTAGATCGCTTTTTTTTTGGGGGGGGGTCATATTTTGTGAATATTTTCAGTATCTTTTTCAATATCGATTCAACATTTTTTTTTTTTTTTTGCATTTTCCAACGTTTTTTTTTATCAATATTAATTAAATAATATAATATTTTCTTTTTTTGGTTTAAACTTTTTACGAAACATGACATCTGAACTAAACTGAATAATAAGAAGATACGATTTATGAATCAGTCACATGTCTGATTTCTTGTTAAGAACATTTATATTCTGATATTCAAAATCCTCATTTTGTTACTGAAGTTTTCGGACATAGCAGTTCGGCCATTTTTGTAAAATTCGTATTAAAGAATTCTTCTTAAGTCTCACGAAACACAGAAAACGCTTTTCCAATCAATTCTACTTTTGTTAAATGCTGTATTGAATGGACACATAGTTTATTTTGTTTTAGTATCTGTCAGTGATTTTGTCTTCGATTTTTTAATCATTGTTATTGTCCATTTCGTATACCTTTTTACATCTTTTTAACTTGTTTTGTTTTTAATTCCGAAATTTCTCTTTTTGGTTGTTCAAACTAACACCGGGTCACTTGCTGAACCTCCCTCTTTCATTATTCTAACCTTATCCTTGTTCCTATATTGTTAATGCTTCCTCCCAGAATTCTTCTTCTTTTCACTTCATACAATCTCTCGATTTAGTCCGTATTATTTCATACCTCGCCTCTTTTCACGTCTACAACATAGACCATGACATGATTGTTTCGACAGAATGTATTTTTCGAAAAAGCTTCTTTCGAGAAATGCCACAATAGCTGTCATCTGTAGGAAGAGATAATTAGAACCGGGCATCACAGTACATTTAAAAAGTGTACGCGAGACAAATTGTAAAAGATAAGAAAACAATAAAGAGAAAAAACAAAAACAGATAAGGGCAAACAAGGCGAAGTTTCAAATCAATATTCAATAACATTGCTTCTTCCTGTTTGTTTCCATTATTCATATTACCCAGGAGAGTTGAAATAATTAATTTCTCATGTTTTGCAAGCGCACGTCAATATGCCATTTTTATTTGCTTTGCAATAAAAGCGCTTCGCTGTCTCTGACGAATGGTGCATCGACAAAATGGCGAATGAAAAAGCAGTCATGTTCTGGTTTGTAATATATTTGCTTCGGATGCAAAAATGGTAACTCAATAAATTTAGGAAAATATTGTGGATATTAAATTCTTCTTTATATTCTTTGTTTTGTTTTTTATTTTTACTTTAGATTTTCAACATTTTCCATTCGATTTTTTATCTGCCTCATTCAAATTGAGTCTGTGGGAATTATAGCAGACGCCATGTTTATGGACGTGTTTAGGAATAGATGATGTATGTAAAATCCACCTGGAGGTCAAAAAACGTGAAAAAATGTTGTTTTGTCTTGCTTGAACGAGGTTATGCTAGATATTGATGCAGATGTTCGGACGAGAATTCCCCATTAAAAGAGAAAAAAAAAACACCTGAAAAAAAAAGAAGTAGACACTTTATATTTAACACAGAATATCAGTTAACTAAATTGATATTTCAGGACCAGATCAATCCATAGCGACTATGAAGAAATGACAAACCAAATAGAGAGGGAAATGACGAAAGACCAGATTGTAAAATAATAGCCAAAGTTTAATCAAAAGAGAACGTTAAATGCGATAAGATTTATACAACATTTCCTCGAATCCAAGGCTCGATGAGGACTCAAAGTAGAGGGTTACTGTCAAAAGGTTAATAATATATGTGCTTTTTAATAAATAGCAGATAGATAATTAGGAAATTCTCTTATGAATATAGAGAGAAATACAACCATTGAACCTTGTCCTGAAGAAGAAAAAAATGAAGTTTACAGAGAAGCAGCCAGGGAAGTGTCTGTTGTACAAATCGGAAATTCCTGGGAAAATCTGGCTCGGCGGAACTTTGTATTTACCTTTGGAATGCAAAAATAATAATCAATACGTTTAGTTACATTTTCGAATTTTTAATTTTTTTTATAAAAAATCGAAAATCGGCATTTGATCGTTCAATTTTAACGCTTACCACCGCTACGCGTGCGACGGCGTCCGAATGCACTGGAGACGATCATCACATGCAGAGGGTGACCCGCGCCCACGAAGACCGAACAGAGGAGTCAAACGATAGAACTCACCATTAGCCATGAAAAGAGTAATAGACTAGCGGGAAGCGTGTTATATTCATTTGATCTTCTGATGGATAAATGAAAAATGTCAAACAAAGCAAACGGTGAATGGTGAAAAGAAAATATACAAAATAAAAGAAAGAAAGCGAGAAAAAGGATAAAACGAAAGGATTTGCAAAGAAAATCTAAACAATGAAAGAAGCAATAAGGAAAGGAAAACCAATCAAGAAGAAAGAGGGAGAATGAAAAAGAGGAAAAGAAATACAGAAATAAATGAAGAACGATAGTCGGAAAAGCAACAGGGAAAATGAAGACAAGCAAGGCGAGAAAAAAGGAGAAAGAAAAAGAAAAGAAGATATTATACGAAAAATAAAAAAAGGAATGGTGACAGAAAAGTAAAAGAAGTGGAAAGAAAGAAGCGAAAAAAATTAAAGAGAGAATGGAAAAGAAAGAGAAAGTAAAAAAAGGGAAAAGAAAGAAGTGATAAGAAAGAGAAGGGAAAGAAAGAAGGGAAATGAAAAAAGAAGGAAATAAAGAAGTTAAAATAAAGAAGAAAAACGGGAAAAGAAAGAAGAAAAAGAAAGAAAGGAAATAGAGAAGAGAAAAGAAAAAGAAGGTCAAAGGAGAAGAGGAAAGAAAAAGAATAGAAAAGAAAGAAAGGAAAAGAAAAAAAGGGAAAAGAAAAAGTAACGAAAGGAAGAAAGAAAAAGAAAGTAGCGAAAAGAAAAAAGAAGGAAAAAAGGAAAAGAAAGAAGGGAAAAGATAAAGAAGGGGGAAAGAAAGAAATATCTAAACTTCAAAATAAAGCATAACAAGACAAACATATTAAAAAGAATGAAAAACAAACGAAACAACAGGAAAAAAGACATTTTAATGTTACAAGGAGAAAGAAAAGGCGGGAAAAATAAGCAAAAAAGACGAAAAAAAACATATGAGAATTAAAAAAGAAAGAAAGAAGAATTCTAAAATTTTTAAATGAAAGAGAAACTAAGAAATAGACAGAATAAAACAAAAGTTTGAAAAAGAAAAGTGAAATCGGGAAAGTATTTAAAAGAATAAGAGAAAGAAATGAAAATACATAACAATTACAAGACAAGGCAATGGTATAAGAATGCGATGAAATAAAGGCAAACATGACGAAAGCCTCGTAGTAATTGGTAGAAACAATAAAAATGTAATATTTTTTATTTGATGATAGTAAGAATTAGCGAGGCCAGAAAACCAGTCACCTGAAATAAAAAAAAGACGAATGGCTAAACATTTTATCTCCTTGTTCATCCATTGTGAAGAAATAAGCGATTAGCTTTGCTAATAAAAATTATATCGATGCTATATAAATTATATCGATGAGGGATTTGTATATTTTAGTTTTACTGCTGACAGACGTTAATACCACCGTCGATAATATTATATTTCAATGGACACAGCTATCCTCCTCCTCCTTCTTTTTATTCCTCTACTACTACTACTACTACTACTACTACTACTACTACTGTTACTGCTGCTTCTACTTTTCTTTCTTTCTCACGGTCATATCACTTGGAAACACCGGTTCCCGTACGATTACCAAAGTAAAGCAACATCAATCTTAGTTAGTAGCTAGATGGATGACGTCTTTGTTATACCCGGTGCTTTAAGTTTGGGCGCGTGTGTTGTGCAATGGAGCGTTGTTCCAATTTTAGTTCGGTTCGTTATATTCACTTATTCAATAACTTCTAACCCCCCAGGCTATGGGTTAATTAGCAAGACTTGTATCACTTAATCATTAATATTTCCCTCCAAATTTTTTACAAAATAAAAAGATTTCTTGAATTTAAATAATCCGCAAAGGCTTAATAAGCCCTTAAAAATAATATTCTTGTTTAAATAAATATGTCTGCAGACAAGAACATAGTTTAGGAAGACACTTCCCAAAATCAAGATACTCGTAGCCAGTCAACTGATCTCAGCTCAGGCCTAACTCAGTGGAGAAAGAACCTTGAAAATCAGGATCCGTACTCCTGGATTATGCCTTGGCTCGAACATCGATTTTAGTAAGGAAATACGCAAATATCTCCATCACGTCTTTGATTCTTTCAGTCATTCTGCTTAGATGCCATGGAGTGTGGTGTGGGGTGGGGAGATTTGAGAATTTTTGCCACCGTTTTATCGCCAATCTTTCAATTTGTGATATTTTTCTTCATCTAAATATTGAGCTCCGTAGAGTTCCAATTCTTTCTCCATCTCTCAAATCATCTAACATTTTCTAACAATTTATTAATGCGCTCCAGAAATATTGCTTCCAAATCTTCTTGATTTAAAATCTTTCTTTTGCAAGATTTTACTGTTCATTACAATTTCTGTCATTTTCCCAGAATTTCTTCTGGAATAGCAGCAATTTGTATCCTGGAGTTGACCGGGTAATCTACTTCAAATTCAAACGTATAGTGAAATTTATAATGTTTAATCTCCAGACTGTGCCTTTTGTTCACGTCGTATACGTGCATCATCAAATATGAGACATTTGTGCAATTCTTAATGAAGCACTCGTCTTAATCAGCCTAAATTGTACTCATTTGAACTCGCTTGTTTTTATCTTGGTTTAGACGTAAGATATTCAATAAAGTTGATCTCTTATGAATTCATCGTCATTTTCGATTTTGAAGTGTCCTTTTATTACTTTTGATTGTTTATATGATTCTCTATTGAGTATTCTTCTTTCTTTTGGCCTTTTGTGAATTTTCTTGTAGTTTATTCTGGTTACTATGTTTATTTCGTCTTATTTCTTCATAACCCTTTAATGTTCGACAGAAGATATCTATGAATATTGACGAATATTCGCGTCTGTTTTGTTCTTTTAGATTCTGTTAATAACAAATCACAAATACACAATTTTCTGTCATAGATTTAATCTCCGAATCCTTCGATCCCATTTTATTTGACATCGATTTTATAAGTTTTATAGATTTCCCTCTGTCATAATTATCGACAATAAGTTCCTCTTTTTCTTTTTCTTTGCATTTCCGACTATTTAATTAACTCTTTTTCAGTATTGCATTATAATTACATATATATATATATATATATATATATATATATATATATATATATATATATATATATATAAAAAAGTTTGAAACGAAATCATGTTATAACATGATTTCATTGTCAACTTTTGAATCTTTCTATACTTGGTTTTTGATTGGTTATTCTAGCTTTTGTAACAATGTTTCCCCCTGGTGTAGGATCGTTAATTAATCTGAAATTTTTAAAACCATTTATTTCATCTTCAACATCATCACTTAATAAGACACCGAGTGTGTTGAAACAAAATAGCTATTTTTGTAGTGATTTTATAACATACTTATGTTATAATTTTTTTATAAATAATAATTATATCTGCTCTACTTTGTATTGAGCACTCTTTTAAGAATATTAATTGTTAGTTATTGGAATTCATTCCATATATACCAATTATATACTTGGATATATATATATATATATATATATATATATATATATATATATATATATATATATATTTTAGATTAATTGACCTGCTTGAATTTCAAATTCACAGAACAAGAGTTTAATTCCTAAAGCCAGAATCTGTTATCTGCATATATCACTTGATTGACCAAATCTTAATAATATGCGGAATTCACAGTAAACAATAATTCCTAAACAGTTTTTTTTAGCCATATCACCACCAGCAAGGCAATAGAGCCACTAAGACGCAAGGGGTTACTGAGTGTAACAGAATATGAGGAAATGACAAACATTATTAAGGTGAGAAAACAAAACAGAACAGGAATAAAATCGACCGAATATAACGATCGACATTGCATTTAAAGTTTTGAAGATCAAAATTGACTGGAAAGCAAGATGACGGAAGAGAGTTCCGCAGATGAGATGTGCGAAAGACGAGACTCTTAGTATGGAACTTACAGTTAAAACTCACCATGTCAATTATAAATATATGAGACATGGCCACTCATCTACTGCTAAGCTTTTAATTCATAAAGTTTAGGTTTCAAAGAGGAATGTTCATCAGAATAATTTCTATTACAAATTATTTTCTATTAAAAGGTATCGTTATTATCGTATTCTCTTTAAACCATTTTTATCGATTCGGTTATTGCATGAAAATATTATCCATTCATCTATGATATTTTCCCATTTTTTTTTCGTTCCTTCACTCTGAACCTTAACAGATATAAAGTTCTAACCTATTTCGTCCTTAATTATATTATAAGGATGTTAGTTATTTTCTGGTAGCATCCTTTTGTCATCAATGCGTGTCGCATTTCCTTTGACGCGCCTTTTCATTGGCTGTTAACTTATTATTAGTAGCAGTCAAATAATCCTGTAGCCTTGCTGGTAATATTGATTTACAACTGTTTAGAAAAATATGTTCGTTGTCTTTATTCTATATCTTTGTTTTATTGTTATTTTTATTCAGTGTTATCTCTCAACGACAGCATATTCCCTTGATGATTTGCTCGTGAGCAACAGGGTTTATTCCCTTGAGTGGTTTGAATTATTTATCGTCAACCGATGACAAATATCAATTCGTTTCATGCCATCAACGTCCACACAGAATGTAACTTACATTTTTTATGCCAACTCTTGCCTCTGCGTGACGCAAATCCCCTTAGCAATGTTTTCCTGTGTCATTCAGTTTAAATGACAAGATTTCGATCTGCTCTCAGTATTGAAGTATTCGTCCATTTCGTTTTTAAAAGGTTCCTAAAAATTATAATATTATCTGAAAATAATATTTTGAAAGCAGCGAAATGTAAAATATTTCAATGTAATTTATTTGATTTATTTGCCTTTAACTTATATTATTCCGTTTCAGTAACATCGTAAATTTTCTTAAAGAATTGAACTTATGCCCACATTATATAACTTAGCTCAAACACTAATAGAATAAATAGTAGAATAGACAAGGATATCGATCCTGAGATGGTAGATAATCTGAATCGAATACCGTGGAGGAAGGAACAAGAAAACTTTCTATAATTATTCAAAGAACGCATAGAAATTCATAGGCAAAAAATTGAATATGTGGCCAAATACGATCGCATCAAACCTGGAGAGAAAAAGATGTATTTTATTAAAATTTTAAAAACATTTAGAATATTTCTAGCCGTTGCAAGAAGATAAGGTTCACCAAAATTTTAAATCCAGGATATATAGACAAAAACCGGCGGATTTTATTATGTTTTTTATTCGCATGTAACTTTTATTATCACAAAATAAATGTTTTGCCAAGGGTTCGGAATAAGTCTGCTCTATGATTTTAATTTCGCCCTCATTTCAACGGAATCGATACTTGGTACCAAGCAGATTATGAATGAATGGAATGGTGAACATACGACAATCTTAACAATTGAAGAAGAGCTAATGTCATGGAAATAGACAAGTTTAAAATTGGATGACAATAACATCTGTATCAGGATGAATGGCGCCATGTTGTGGTCGCTAATGTAAAACTGACCAAGCAGGAAATGGCACAGCTGTTGAAATGCCCTCGCTTCATCATCCTCTTTCAATGAACTGTGGGCGACTAAATTTCTAAATTTGGAAATGGATGCCTACATTGAATGACGACAATTGACATCACTATTTCACTGTGCGAAAACCTGTTAGATTTCTTAAGCGCGGGATTACATGTGTAACTTAACGGGGAAGGCAGAGGAATGAAAAAGGAATTGGACACAGAAGAATGCCATTAATATCGACAGGCGTGGGTGATGTTAAGACGTGTGTGACATTCCTTAGTGGAACCTGTTCATTCATAAAAAAAACATGGCTTAGATGAGATGTAGTGAAGCTACCGTTGCCGAAAACGCTCTCAGTTCTGTAAAATCTGTCTACAGCATGAAAATTGTAAACTACCAATGCGATGTCTGAAATCGACAGAGAAACTCAAGGTATTTTAAATTCAAAACTGATTTAATTCTGAGCACACAGACACACACACAGACAGACAGACAGACAGACAGACACACACACACACACACATATATATATATATATATATATATATATATATATATATATATATATATATATATATATATATATATATTTGTTTTGTGTGGGAGTGAAAGGATCAACATACGGACAACACTAGGACGAAATAAAAAG